ATATTTCAAACTAGCGCGGGGGCGGTCGGGTAGCCTAGTGGTTAAAACGTTCGCTCGTCAAGCAGAAGACCCGGGTTCGATCCCGACATGGGTACAATGCGCGAAGCCCACTTCTGGTGTCCCCCGCCGTGATATTGCTGGAATATTGCTAAAAGTGGCGTATTTAATTGTGACGAGCATAGGCTTTAATTAAGAAACCACGTTCGTGACTTAATCATGTACTTCAATGTGAAAGACTGAGTTTTCTGAAGTTGAGAAAAGTGATATTTTCATTGCATTGAAGATTGCCCTTTGACGGAACTATTGTCATACATAAGTTACCTCCCCTTAAATTGTCTCCCTTTATAGTACGTGTCTAGCTTGTACAGAAACTGTTGACATCCTTTTGACGTTAGGTCCACATTGACAAGGCAAAATAATGACTGATGATAATTATTGAGTTTATATGTCTTCATGCCTTTTGTTATTCTCTCGAAAATGTTTCGTTAGAAACTGTAAATTTATCATTTAACTCGTCAATCCAGACTATTCATGTTGCAAAGTGCCATAATTGTAACTTGACTAGCGTGTATTATTTAAGGTCACGAAAACTCCTAATACATTTAGATACGACTATATACAAAATCAACTTGAACAAAAAGTACTCTTGTAAACTACAAGAGTGTTGTTGGAAGCGAAAGGATACACGCTGGTCATGGCATTAAAATGGCGCTTTGCGAAACAAACAGTCTCGATTGACGAGTTAAATGAGAAATATACTTACGTGTTGTCTATCGTGAGTAATACATTACCTGTCTAGGAGCATTACCCTTTGCACAGTGATACTGACTCCCTCAGTTAACAAATAGTCCCGCCCTCACGAGATGTTAATATACTGTGCTTACTGTGTGTATGGTTATTGAATGGTGCATCATTTACGAGTGAGTACTGAACGTACATATCACGAACTAAAGGTGATTGTGTAACGACAAAAATTGTCATAAAGTTTGATTTCCTTAATAATTCATTCGTATGTATATTAGTCGCATGGATGTTATTTTATGTCTGATGGAAGTGGTGACGTCTTCTCCCTGAACTGTGTGGTCATCAGCCTCACGCAAACTTGGTTGTATTCTTAGGGATATAACATTGAGTTTCTTGTTGGACCTGGCCACATGCTCTTTGATGCACGTTAATCTCGATCGAGGTTGGTTTGAGGGTTTTTGCTAAACATGTTTGCAAACATTTACTGAAGGATTTGTTTCAACTTCCTGCTACCGAGTGAATCGAGGTAACTGATCATTGAATGAGTAAAATGCAAATCTCGGGTTCGTTTTCAGGAAGCTGTAAATGAAACCTAGATATCGTTTGTTGTAAACGTGTCACAAGAATACACTAGCATGTCTGTTGTGCCGCCAACACCTATAGCACGGCTTGCCATCTGTTTGAGGCGAAAGGGTCCTCCCTCTCCAACCCTGACTAAAATTACTTACTTTGTAGAAACAAATATATCTACTTACATTTTGTAAATGTCTTTGTGTACGTCTTTACTTTCTCTTAGATGGTCATGTCAAGTGTAATCGCCTAAACAATACCTGAGAGACGGTGATGTCAATAGTATCAATAGGGCATGGTTACACAAATCTCTTATCATTTTGGTGTGCGTGTGCGCGTGTGCGTGTGTGTGCGTGTGTGTGTGTGTGTTTGTGTGTGTGTTCTTTTGTAAATGAGTAGATGTTTACGCCGCCTTAAGCAATAGTCCTGGGTGCCGTTGTAAAAAGCGACCGTAGTGCTAAGGTCATCGCAACTCCCATGACAGTCGTGGCGCTAAGGTTGTTTTGTACAACGGCACCAAGTAACTACATAGCTGGGAACAACAGATTAACTTCACACATTTTACCCACGACGAGCGAAGGAGTGACGATTACAGCCCGTAACAGTAGTTTTGTGTTAAGCTTTACAATGGAACATAACAATATGAATATTTTATTACAACGTGTTTGTATCGTTATCTATCGTGTTTTTTTTACGTTTATACTACTTATTTTCGTTTATCCGACATACTCGTTAATCCGACATAATCATGTGCAACCAACCATGTTGGATGAACGGAGCTTGATAGAATGTTGATTGAATGTATTGAATTTTCATAGCAGTGTATCTCATATGTGTAAGACAATCTCATACACGCAGTGCTATTTCCCAGACAAACTAGGTTCACTGTTGCAAGGTTATAGGGACCCACTGTGAGGAAGTTGTTTTCCTGTAGTCTGTTGTCGATTATAGTCGACTTTCAGACAAGGATCGCCTCTGTGGTCTACTGGTAGAGCGTCCGCCCGGAGAGTGGAAGGTCCGGGGTTCGATCCCCGACCGCGTCATACAAAAAGACGTTAAAAGATGGTATGGTTTCGTGTTGTTACCCTGTCTGGCGCTTGGCATTAAGGGGCTAAAACAAGGACTGGTCGGCTCGGAGTCAGTATACTGTGTCTGAGTGGGGTATTCTTGTTAAACTGCGGCATGGTATCTCAGTGAGCTAGCACTATAAATCGGTATCAGTCCGGACTAGTACAAGCAGCCACATAAACACATACACGTACATGCACGTCGCTATATAAGTGCAATAATCTTGGACGCGTTAAACCCCATTTCACCTCACCTTTTAGACAAGTAGGAAAGTAGGACAGTTTTTTCTTTTATGTTGACAGATGAAGCTTCTCCATATCTTCTTTGTATTCACCATCATCACCACTGTGTGGGCACAAGGTAAGTGTCTGATTGAAGAAACAATCCATGAAAGATTAGGACAAAGAGCAAAAGCAGAATATTATTTACTGACATGGAACTATTTCATTATATAACTCTCTATTTTAATCTCTCATCAGATTAAATCAACTCCTAGTCTCAACCAAGTCTTATTAACCCCAGATGATACTAATAAAACGAATCAGAACACAGCCAACCTCAACACAACAACCGATGTAGACTCAGATAACTCCTCACGCTCAAATGACTCCCCTCCCATTTGTTTTCAAGAATACAAATGTTTTGACACTAATTGTGCGTTCTGTCTGACAGGAATCTATAATGTTAGTTGGGACATGAATGCAGTTAAAGGTTTTCAGTTGAGACAAAATATGTCTAGGCATAATCTTTAGATTTAGGCCCCGAATTGTTATATTCAGATCACGACAACGAAACAGCATATTTTGTTTCAATTCTTTAATTGCCTCTATTGTCCTATTAGTGTTGTTCAACTTTAAATGTTACCACTGTTCTATATCAACAAACAATCGCATTCACCCGATTTGAGAAATGTAACAGCCGTTTGGCTCTTACTCTCAGTTAATTAACAGACGAGTCTGGACCAGACAATCCAGTGATTGACATCATGAACATCGATCTGCGCAATTGGGATACGATGAAATGCATCAACCACATTAGCGAATCTGACCAACCGATCCCATTGGTCGCCTCTTACGGCAAGCATTAGTTGCTGAAGACCTATTTTACCCCGTATCTTCGCGGGTCTCTCGCTCACTTCTGACATAGTTCAGATTGACCAGTTAATGCTAATTATTGTGTTCGTCCCTTCATCATCGGGATAGTCACGTTACGAGAATGGATGATTTACAACATTATCTGCCAGTTTAATAAAACAATATTTGAAGTACTGTTCCTTGGAGAGCATTCATTTGCACTCTATGATAAAATGTAATGGGATTGCTGCAATACAATGTATATGGGAGTTGTCGAACGAGGGTATTTACATATATTTAACATGTGAGATATGGTCAGAAAATGGTGTAGTGTTTTACTGTTTGTTTTCTCTTAGATACTGCTGTAATATACTGTCCTGACATAGCCTACTTGGGTACTTCTGCCAAAATTACCTGTTCCACGTCTGACAAATTCACTGTTATGATTTACGACTGCCCATGCGGAGTTGCACCAATGTGCCCTGTGTCATACTGCACCAATGTGTCGGGATATAATGCAAGCATCATCAACCAAACACAGACTGAACTCACGATAATCAGTGTACAGCCACGACATGCAGGGAACTGGTCATGTACTGATGCTAGAGATGTTGGAACAACGTTTTGTCTTCTTGTCGTCGCAAGTAAGTAGGATGTTTCGGACAAATGTTGAGAACAGTAGGTGAAAGAATGCAAAAGGTAACCATTGAAGCACATGTAGAAGACCTACAATGTAATCAAGCATTAAAACATTCACTTTTAAAGCAAGTGTCAGCTGGCTAACGGTGGCTTGTTATGCCATTCGGACTATAAAAATCGGGACATTCACAGATCTCTGTTGAAAGGGTACCTTATATCAGTATTGCTCATGTGTGATATATGCTTGTCAACCATATTAAAATATCACCGAGACATTACACTATTGAAGCTAGAAGAAGATAACTAGTAGATGAAAAGTACTCATCAGCCAATTACTAGTATGTAATCATTCTACACTTTAAAGCAACACTTTCCGTTCTGAGAATTTTGTGTGGTATGCACGATGTCAGCCACATTAATATAATCATATGACAGGTATAACAATTATATGTTTGCACAATCTGGATTGTATTAACATAATAAAATGTAACACAATATGCTTCACTTGATGTTTTAGAGATTCCCTCGGTCAACATAACCAGTTATGTGGATGCTGATTCAGTGAATCTGGGTGACAGAATATCCCTCACCGTGGACATTCGAGACTACCACTGCTCTGACGCTTACAGCTTAACACTACAGATCGGGAGTGCCACCTATACACCTGACACCTGGAGGAACGTTACTGTCAAACACCTGACCAAAACTGTGCCCATCAATGTGACACAAGCACACTTCGGGAACGTTTACCTTGTGTTTGTCTGTGGTAATCACCAGTGGAATATTACCCCTGGAGGTGTTAACAAGCTACAGCCGATCAGTTAGTATTATTCATGTCGTGATTCACCTATCAGTTCAATGCCGCAAGCATAATTTGGGAAGGTGACTGGGACATTCCCCTCGGTTATGTATGTTTTAAATGGTAGGTAAACATTAGAAAACATTAACATAAATAGAGGACAACCGATACCGGTTAATTTACATTGCAACTGCCTTCGAAATAGAAATCAAACGTGCTGTGTCCGCCAGAGTGTCTTGCGAGCATACCATGAGATGTTTAACTTGAATTACAAGTACATAAAAGAAGTAAAATACTGATATGCAAGTTTTAAAACTTAAAACCAATTTTAGAAAAAATCTGCCTCGATATCAATGTTTACTGAATACTTGTAACTTGAAATAGTTTTTTCGTGTTAAAAAATACATAAACCTAGCGATGTGCCCTGTTTGACAAGCATATGCAACTGACAGTATTTTCACCTGACAGTCAACGTAAGACACGCGATACCTTTGTTCATCGGACAATCCTTCAGATGTTACGTTTTGTCAGTTTAATAAAACAAAGGCAATCACTACAGACGAGATCAAAAGCATCACATGTGTCCCATGTGGTATTCAAATAGCACACGTAATAAGTAAGTTATAATCTTTTCAGTGTGTACCTTCAGCGGGCTGGCATGTACAGACATCTCGTCGTGTCATGCTTTACTAACATTAATCTGGAAACAATGTTTTACTGTACTAAATGCTGACATCCATGTCAAACCTATTGACAATACTCGAAGGTGAACGCTCGGGGCATTGGATCCACGGAGATGGGGAGTTCCAGGTTGTTCCGTGTGCAAAGAAACGCAATATATAACGTTTTGAGGATGTACCAGCAACCACATAGCGAATGAGATCGTCAACGAGGCAGCAGTAGGCACCATATTGTGCCATGTAACACTGGCATGAACGGATTAATTTGTCAGAGCGAATATGGTGTAATGATGACGGTGAAGACGTGATATGTCGTCCATCTAAGAATTCACGTCATCCTTGTATGAAATATCTTGCAAATATTTTACAGCTACTTTGTCACAACAACAGTTATTAATTGAAAACTTGTGTGTTGAAAATACGATTTGTTCTGTTACAGGAACTACTCTACTAGCCCCAATTGCCAGTTCAGACCCTTCAGGCGTGTTAGTTCTATCTATAGTTGTAGCAGGAGCTGTTATTATCATCATAATTATCACTATCGGTTGCTGCTACCGCCGCTGTAGAAAACAGGTAAGCCAGCTCTGAACTTAACACTGTAACTGTGTATGGGCCAGCAAATACGGCTGATTCCGACGTGAATATAAAACACTTCAAATTACACAATGCAGAAGTAAATTCTTCACATTGAGTCTTATTCGTCTTTATAGCTAAAACGGATAGAATTATAATTAAACCCCCCACATAATATCGAAAAATGAGCGGGCAACTGTAACTTGATAATGCCCTCATATTTGCTTGACGACGGACCATTATTACGCCCGTTGTTAGGAGAGTCATAGGGATAGGGATAGATGACGTCACGTTCAATAGAGACGTCATCTGGTTTGTTCTATGACGTTTCATTATTGTAAAAGTCGGTCAGTGACATTCGTGTTAATTGCAGTAAATGTTTCAAAATCAATATTGTTGTTATTGTGATAACAAATTCTATCTATTTTAGCTATAATGACGGTAACGCTATTTTTCAGGGTATTATCATTAGCAGAAGCCCCTGGTCTTTTCAACTGCGCTCTTACGCGAGGCAGTTAATAGAAGACCTTGGGTTTCTGCAAATAATAAATGCCCTGACAAATATAGTATTGATGCGAGTGAATGTTGGATGGATTAACCATTGGCAACACCAAACAATAACCAAGTTATAGTTGTTGATATAATATATCAATGTCGAATAGCTAACGTAATTTACATGGGATATTTATTTTGTTTGTTTTGCCGTTGACTACAACAGGTGCCAGCATCAGCAGACACCCACACACATGATGACTTGGTTGTAACTGTGTCACAAGGAATACGGAAGGTAGCAGTCGTATATCCCCCTTCCGAGGACGCTGTGCACCAGGCTGAGGACAATGTTGTAGTCGGCCCTGGAGGATCTGCTTCTGGTAATGATCAACAAGGACCCGGACTCCGTATTAATCCTGTGTACGTCCCTACTATTGTAGGTGACAGAATAGTCACAACAGGGACATCCACAGAGTCAGGTGTGATGGGTAGGTCCACTCTTTTACATGACACTAGTTTGACATTCCAATTGCATGTAGGGTTCTTATCCTAATACATCTGTCTATCAATATATTAATACACGTTTGCTGCGCAATGTTTACACTTTGAGAATGGATTTCATCAACTGTATACGTTGACATTGACAGCACTGACGCTATACGTTTAATGCTGAAAGCAATAGTTTAATACACAATTCCATCGTCTAATTAAAATTTCAATTTGATCAACCTGGTGGATACCTGGAAGGTGTAATTCTAAAACCTAATACGAAAATGTCTTTGGGGCATCGGCGCCTTACCTCATAGCCTTATTATTGGAAATAATATAAATATATTTTTGTATTTGTTTTCAAATTTCCCTCGCGATCGTACGCATACTCAATTATCCATAAAAGTTAATGCTTGACAACTCGCATTGTATTAAAGGCCTGAGTTCACTGTGTGCCCAGTTGCCTTAGTTGGTATTTTGTTAGGGGGGCCATATAGTGTTTCTCCCGCAGCACTAACATATGGTACATAACAGAACTAGTTAATACATTTATTGGCAAGCATTAAGGTCAATGGGATAGAGTGCAAATTCACAAAACACGTGATTAAGTTTTCAAATTGTTTCAAACGGTTGCATTATCAATCTGGCTCCTGATCTTTAGGGCTTTCAAAATCTGTGATCTTTAGGGCTTTCAAAATCTGTGGCAGTGGTAGGTCCAAGCGTTAATTATACTGCCCTATTAAAAAAACACCGATTTCTATATATATGTTCTTTGTTTTCAATACCACAATTGCCCTTAGTTGTCGTTTGACATCATTGTTAAAGAAAATACGATTTGTTTGTTATTTAACGCCGCACATGGCAATATTCCACCTGTATGATGTCTATAAATAGTCGAGTCTGGAGTAGACAATCCAGTGATTGACATAATGAACATCGATCCACACAATTTGAATACGATTATACACAATCAACCAAGTCACGGAGACGGACCCCAAATTCATTAAGTTACCTCTTACGACAAACTTAGTCACTGAGTATCAATTCTAACCTAGAATCCCCACGGGTGAAAATATGAACATGCTGATCCATTAATAGTTTTGGAAACTTCATTATTTAATAATATTAGATTTCATCAATAGAATAAATTTTGAACCTGCATTATGTACATTGTGTTTTCAATTGTTGGTCATTTTCAGTTCTAATTTCAAAGAATCAATATATATTCAAAACCACAAGTTGTCCAAATGTATTTAAAAAAATGACATTTGTTTCAGGTGGCGATAACCTAAATCCTGAAACGAGAGGAGAATATGTTGCTCTTGATAGGAATGCTGTCCAACCCTCAAACATCTATGAACATCTGACAACATATGAAGTAATTGCCAACATGTGAAGTAACAACCTGAAAAGAAACGGGCGTCTTTATACTACACATATAAGGCCCACACGAAAACGTTCCCACCTTGTTTGTGCTACGAGAAAATAAGGAAGAGAATTTATGAATGTCAACTTGTGTATACTTACTCCTTCATCAGGTCAAGAAAATGCTATGAGGTAGAGAATATATATATGCACCTGTAAGGACAACAAAAGTAAAAAAATAACATGGGGGAAACTTAACAAGCCAACAGATAATTGGCGCTGATAGATGATTAGCAATGGACAAATGGAAGCAAACACTTAACATGTCATTGATTGGTAATAGGCAATGGACAATGGGCAAATATTACTTTTGTTGTCCTTACATGTACATATATAAGCTGTCTGCCTCATAGCATTTATTCACCTGATGAAGGAGTAAGTATATATTCCGAAACGTTGTGTTCCTCACAATAAAGAAGTTGACATCAATAAATTCGCTTATGTGTATCACTTCTAAAAGCCTTACAAAGACTTGATACGAGAAAATAGTCCTTTGTTTGGAATACATAACTAAAATTGAAAACAGCAACACTCAATTAAATCTAGTACATCAGTTTAATTGCATTGAATTAAAACGATCCAACCTCATCTCAAACAAGATACCAAATACATCTGCCGTTCATAATGCATTGATGCATTTGGAACTATTCTTTCGTCTTGGTTCGAATGAATAGATGATATTACATCAGTACACTCATAAAGAAAGTAATTTCAAGGTAAACACTCTTAACTATTATGTCCATGAGACAGGCTTGGTATACATATGATTGTGGAAGCCAGTCCTCATATTGATCTCTTGAACGTAACGTCTTTCTTACGGCAGCGTTAAGCTTCAGTGATGGATTCCTCATGGAATTCCAAAATCTTTGTTATTCCTTGTATAGAGTTGTATTCCTTGTATACAATCAGGTATTTGGATGACTTCTTCTTTTCTTTTAACTGTTCTGACTTTAAATACAATCACCTGTTTCAAGTATATGTATATGCACCAAAACCTTAAAGCATCATAACAACAGCAGTTGACATTCATACAGTTGCTTGTTAAAACCATACATCACTTTGTATATAATACATGTATCTACATTGCACTTTATACTGAAATAATCTTATTACCATATTACTTCACTATGCCAGTCAATGACATAAAGATATATTTAAGTACTATTTTGTAATATATTCTCACTTTTTGTCACAACCTTTGCTACAAGTTAATAAAGCTAATGTCTTTTCGCCAAAATTTAAATGATTTATTTGTCGTTCGATCACATATTACTGCATACATTTCTGTCATCCATACATGCAAAAATCGTAGTAGTCCCATCACAAATATCATGATCATCATCTGTCAGTTTGCCTTAGACATTACAATGTAATAATCACTTCCGGTTTAATGGCTTCCTTTATCAGACTCACACATCTATTTAGATATCGTGTTTATAAGGTTTCAGCTAATTTCAATAATTAATATATATTTTAATAAAAAATATCAGTCGGCAAACCGTGTACAGGAGATTACGAGCCCATGGTATCAGAGCACATCGACCCTACCGAGGAGTGTTGTTGACACCTGAACATCAACTCGACAGACTGATATGGACCAGCCATTGCGTGACTGGGCACGTATTATGTTATCCGATGAGAACAAATTCGGAAGCATTAGGTTTCGTATTTCTGGCATGCCTTGCTCTGCTATCTGTCGTGCGGAGTGCAGCGAGATTTGTTGATTAGTCAGATTAAGGATACGTAACAAGTTAATGGAATTCAGACACGCGCCAAGAAGGCAAACCAAACCATGTTACCAAGTTTATTAAGATCACATATCCCTCCACTATGCACAGTTACCTCTATCGGATAATGAGTTGTGTTTCATTTAGTTATAACAGTAACTAATATTATAATGTGAAGTTTACACGATATACGGCTTTTCCATAGGACGAGAGGTGGGTCACATGACGTTTTTCACGTGACTGCATTTTTGAAATGACGTAAACACTGACTACGTTCACATTCCTTGTAAAAAAACCTAGGAATTCCCTGGTACTACTTCATACAGAAGCGTTGTTTCTCATCATTTAGACACTTTAATTTTGAACTTAGTGTCTTAGCATACTCTGGGATAAGTCATAGAGTTTGGTTGCATGCCCGTTCAAGGATACCCTCGCTACAACCCATCCCAGGAAAAAAAAAAAAAAAAATCCAAACTATCGTTGTGACAATCTACAGCAATCTATGAATTTACCTTAGTATCTGTTTGACACATCTTTAGAATCACCTTTCAATGATCGGCCAATTGATCAGTGATGACAAAGGCTTAATATCGCCACAGGTTAATTAACAACATCGGAAAGATCTCCTGTCACGTTTATCGTGTCGGTCATTTTGACGTCTTGTACTTGATGTAAATGTATTACGACGCTCTGTCATTGTGACTGACTTACTGAGGTAGCTTTTAACAGACCTTCTGATCTGATGAGGATATTTTTTGGAATACATTTCATGTAAACAAACTAATGCAGATGTTCCTCGCTTTTGGGGGAACTATTTTATTCCGGAATGGCCTAATAAAGCTAAAAGTAAGTCAAAGCACCATGCATGTATATCATCTGTTATTATATGTGTTTAACAAATACGGTTGGGGGCGTTAATAAAATACACTGACGCAAGTATATTCTAATCATATCAATAAGATAATTGAGTATGCTTAATTTTACATATTACCTAACATCACTACACAAAATGTGGACAGTTGCAGTCACACACTACGGTGATCGCATTAAACACCACTTTGAACAGTATTTCAGTTATATCACGGTGTATCAGACTGATGTTGGACACAAATCCGAAGTGGTTCAGGCCATCCAACGAGTGTTCGCGAAAAGGTGAGCGTATCCTGCCACACAGGTGGCACCCGTCACATACACATGCAAGGACAAGTCAAATGTTCACCTGAACAAAGCACGGAAACACACAGTGATGCCCGTCCTCACTATTACCGAGCATGGAAATTACATGTATATTGTCCGTCAAAAACATGGACGAGTATAAACAATATGTTCCTACAGGTAATACATGTCCTACATATACACTCGGCATGCAGATGAACTCACCACCCATCCCATTATTGATAATCCTTCTTGAAGATCTATGCTATCAGAAGCTGTGCATTTTTACACTTTATCTCTTAATTGGCATGTTAGACTTCTATTTAATAACTCAGTTTTATTTGCACGGATCACTATGGAATCTTGGAAGGGACATTGTCGCGTTGTCCCCCTTACAAAAACAAGCAAAACGTGTCAAAATTAAACAAAGCACGACAATTCGACAACACAACATTTTGGCCACTTGTCGCATTGTCGCGTTGTCGAATTGTCGGTCTTTGAATAATCTTTTTCTATATTTTACAAAAGGGCAAAAATACCGTAACGCGACATTTTCAATGCAAAATATGCCTCGTCGCATTGTCGCCCTATCACAAATGTGTATAAAAGGTGTAAAGTTCAGTTAATGTTACAGTTAGGGAGCGGTAACCAAGTTATATCTGTCGTGGAAGCTCATCCTGATACACGTACGTCTTGTATTGAAAACACAAGTCCGTCCGCGAGTCAATAACGTTTCATTGTGAGCTCTTCTCTATAAGTGCTTAGTGTTCAACTCCCAGTTCCAAACAAGTTGTACCACATACCTGCAGTGCAGTGATCGTCCGGAAGATCTTACTCTTGAGTGAGTGAGTGAGTGAGTATGGTTTTACGCCGCTTTTAGCAATATTCCAGCAATATCACAGCGGGGGACACCAGAAATGGGCTTCACACATTGTACCCATGTCGGGAATCGAACCCGGGTCTTCATAATGTTAAATACTATTGATCATACATGTATGCCAAAATGTTCACATAAGTATTTCATAATATGAGTCTTGAAGTGTCAATTTAGCGTTGTTGTTAATAGGCGTGTTTGGTACAATCAATATCAGCATAACCAATTCTTCTTTTCTTTACGACAATACTACTACTACTACTCTACTGCTACTACTGCTGCTACTACTACTACTACTACTACTACTGATCTTCTGATACTGCTACTGCTACTACTACTTCTACTACTACTACTAGTACTACTACTACTACTACTACTTCTACTACAACCACTACTACTACTAGTACTACTACTACTGCGCTTCTGCTACTACTTCTACTACAACCACTACTACTACTAGTACTACTACTACTGCGCTTCTTCTACTACTACTAGTGCTACTACTACTGCTCTACTGCTACTGCTACTGTTGCTGCTACTACTACAACTACTAGTACTACAACTACTACTTCTACTACAACTACTAGTACTACAACTACTACTTCTACTACTAGTACTACTACTACTACTACTTCTACTACTTCTACTACTACTACTACTACTGATCTACGGCTACTGCTACTGCTACTGCTGCTGCTGCTTCTACTTCTGTATAAAGTACTACTGCTACTGCTACTACTACTACTTCGACTACTACTACTACTAGTACTACTACTACTACTGCTCTACTGCAACTGCTCTACTGCTACTGCTACTGCTGCTACTACTACTACTTCTACTTCTGCTCTACTGCTACTGCTACTACTACTTCTACTTCTACTACTACTACTAGTACTACTACTACTACTACTACTGCTCTACTGCTACTGCTACTGCTGCTGCTACTACTACTATACTACTACTATCACTGCTACTGGTGCTACTACTACTATACTACTACTATCATTTTACTGCCACTGTTACTGATAGTTTATTACTGTGTCATGATGACATCAGTTTTACAAATAAACACATAGTTAAAACACATACACCGTGCCATGTCTAGCCTGAAGGACACTGGAACCGCTCGTCATTCATATTTGATAACATTGTACACATGCATACAACATCCTTTACAGCATATATATCAGCACTATTAGCGACAGACACCAGACATAAGCGACAGCACAGTTACATGTCCAATTGTATAATATTATGGTTGTACAATAACAATAGCTCTATTTTGTTCCAGAAAAAAACCCATCTAAAACTGGTGACGATGCAGGTGCTAAGATACTAAATCCGTACGTCACACATGTGTCGTTCAAGGTTGATCTCGTTTTATTCGTTTTATTTGGATAACCGTGACCTCACTCACACCGGGACTACAAGGCAAAACTGAAGCAATCTGAAGAGCGAAAGATATTAACAAACACTTTTTTAAACCAAACAAGATAGTTGCACGCATCAAATTTGGTTTGCATTCTATTTAAGTTATGCATACAGACACTATTTCATCGAGCTTTTGA